CACAAAAGCCGACGTTAGTGAAGTAATAACATTGTAATGATTTTCAAAATATAATAGATTGATTGTCAACTTTGCGTCTGAGTTGCCTTCAAATATGACTTCGCGCCCTTTAGTACCGAAATTATATACCACAATCTTAAAGTTGTTACCAAAATAAGATTGGAATTTGTTCAGTTCGGGTATTCCGCCACCGTTTGCCTCAATGTATACTTCAGCTTCCTGCATCAACTGTTTCGCCTTATTTAACTGAACATGACCTCTATCTCTTCTTATGTTCTCATAACCAGAATCGCCCGTGACTTTAGCTATGGCAACAACAAGAGCTCTGGGTAAACATAAGTTATCTGTATTTTTAATGGAAATAATCCCCTTTCGAGCAGAACATTCTTCCTCAAAATTGTTGTAGTTACCCGCCTTAATCCTACCTTTGCCGGATGGCACCCGGATAATTGTAGCCTCCAAACAGAAGGTTTCCGTACTTAAACCAGCTGAATTAGATTGATAAATGCTCGAAATTAATCCCCAAATATCTTCAAAAGATACCGATTCGGCAGGCTGGAATCGTAAGTACCCTCCCCCTCGCGAAAACTTTTTAGAACAAAAATTAAACCCGATCATATCAGAAGGAGAAACGTCAGTGCATATATAAGAGATTATTTGGTTGATGGCTGTTTTGATCCACAACACTGTGTTTTCATTGGGTGGAACGTCTTTGATTTTGAATTCTATTGTACGCCCCCTTAATGCGAACCTTTTAACGTTCTTTTGAAATTCGCCAACAATTTCGTATTTGGCCATAGTCACCAAAAAAAAAAGTTTGAATGGGGGTATAGGTAATTACCGAGTGACAAATAGTAAATAAATTGCCAGCCCTTTTGGGAATCTGAAAGTGCTTACCTAGTTACAACACACCAGTGATGTACTTTTTATAGCGGCGAGAATTAGCTACCTACTCGCAATGATGCCATTGAAAAAAATGTTATTAATAACCTACTTTGCGTAATAATTATCGTGCAGAAATCTTACTCCTAGATACACTTAAACAAAAACCTTATCGCGCTGATAGCTATTTTTTCTTAAGTCTGATTCGAATTCGAATACAAAACTGATTTTGTCATGCACGAGAATACCAACTTAATATGGAATTGGTAAGCCAGAAAAGAATTCAATCTGTGCGGCTCACAGGTACGTTTACACTTCGAAGTGCTTCTTTATACTGTCGACTTTGCACAGGTGCACTGACTATAAGAATGCATTACCTAGATATTTATCACGTGATCTATCATACAGATTATGCAATGAGCTTTAAAAATTGCAAAATTGGTGGAGGACAATGCAGACCTTCTAATCGGTATGTAATTTTTTACTAGGCGTAAGTACGAAGATTTCTTTACCAAGAAAAAAATGAACTAACTGCCTCAACGTTCAAATGGATACTGATACGGTCTTCCGCTAATTGAAATTTTATTGCAGGTGTGTGATCACGTGATTTAACATTATGCAACGCAGTCTAAACGAAAATAAAGATTACTTTCAAAATCCGTGCAGATTTCAAACACCCCTCAGAAAACATACACGAATTTTTGTTTATCCATTTATTGCCTAAAAAAAAATTACGACGTAATTTATATAGCATACCCACGATTAATCAACCACAGCAGCACAGTGCTCGATGCAGGAATATGGGACGACGAGATACTTATATTTTGCATTAGTTCTTCGTAGCGCAGATGCTATATCGATACTCTACGACGGTAGTACGTGCGGGGAGTAGGTTCGAACCTTGATCTCTACGGGTTTTTTCTGAAAGATCCAGCAGCGACCAAAAGTGGCATGTCCCCCCACAACGACTGGAAATGAACTGAGAAACAGTCGTCGACATCCATGGTGGACGACGAGAGAACCTGGCAACGGCGGACTGGAGCGGGAGGTAGATGCGTCGAAGAACGGGTGGGAAGATCCATCAATAGAAATCAAGGATTGTCAGGACCAATGAGAACGATGAAAGGAGAAGGGGTTTGGAACAATAGAGAATCGAGGATTTGCTCAGGACCAATGAAGGAACGAAGAAAAGGCGAAGGGGTGGAACCAATAAGATCGAGGATTCTCAAACGAGGGCGGGGAGCAATCAGATTAAAGGAGTGGGAGATGGGCGGGGGTATAAAAGCCAACCAATAGGAAGCCAGGGGGCGGGGCTTAAAAGGTGGAGGCAGTGGGGGTGGGCCATAGTGGGCCCGTATACTTACTACCTACCTTCCCGGGTATTTATAGTAACTCTCATCGGATTAAGGTTCCAATAGCATTAAATCGTTGAAACATTTGTGTCAATTTGGAACTTGTAAAAGTTTCCTTAAAGAATTGAAAACTGACTCATGTGAAATTGGCCTCCGGCCCACATGAAATAATTGACAAAATTTGTGTCGACAGTTAGTGCTACTTACTACGATGGGTGCTCAAAGCCTATCATAGTGGTGATACATAATATGAGTACGGGGAGGGCCCAACTCACACCCAACTTTTTTATTTATCGAAATAACGAACGCACCACGGCGTTAGGCTATGTAGTGCTATAAATCCAACAAACAGTCTTCTCAAATTCTTTCGGCTGTTCCTAAAAAAGTCAAGTTGTGAAGTGTGCGCAGTATGATCTTTGGCTATAGCACAGATTAAATAATTGCTTGGCTATAGATAGCACAGAAACTGTACCTAAGTTTAATACACAAAACGTGTATTTTTACCAAATTTCAGATTTTAATTTAATTTCTTAAGTAAGAATTATAGCTGAACGTGTATTGATACAAAGGGCGAACTGGGGAAGAACACTTTTTCTTATCATTTTTGACGCAAGAATACACCTGCAAAATTTCAGGGATAATCGGTTCATCCGTTTTCTCTTTAAATCGATTGGATGGATCTTCCAATGCGTTAACTTACAACTTAGAATCCAAAACATTTCGTACTTTTTCGATTAGACTTCTCAATCAAAAGTTATAGACTAGAAACCAATTTCGAAAGAAAATTCAAAGGGCTGTAACTTTTGAACTAGTAGCCCAATCTTGAAACTGTTTGAAATTATGGATTCTACAGGCCACATTCTATAAGAAAATTTTTTTTCCGGGTCGATCTGAGACAATTTTTTTTTCGGGACTCAAAAAAAGGCAGTGTATAAACCTTCCTTTTTTACCAAAAAATCGACTACACCAAAATTTCTCGGAAAAACACTTTTTCTGATTAATTTGGGTGCGTAGAATCCAAATCAATTCGTACTTTTTCGATCAGACTTCTCAATCAAAAGTTATAGACTAGAAACCAATTTCGAAAAAAAAATTCAAAGGGCTGTAACTTTTGAACTAGTAGCCCAATCTTGGAACTGTTTGAAATTATGGATTCTACAGGCCATATTCTATAAGAAAATTTTTTCCGGGTCGATCTGAGACAATTTTTTTTTCGGGGCTCAAAAAAAGGCAGTGTATAACCTTCCTTTTTTACCAAAAATCGACTACACCAAAATTTCTCAGGAAAACACTTTTTCTTATTAATTTTGGTGCGTAGAATCCAAAACAATTCGTACTTTTTCGATCAGACTTCTCAATCAAAAGTTGTAGACTAGAAACCAATTTCGAAAAAAAATTCAAAGGACTGTAACTTTTGAACTAGTAGCCCAATCTTGGAACTGTTTGAAATTATGGATTCTACAGGCCACATTCTATAAGAAAATTTTTTTCCCGGGTCGATCTGAGACAATTTTTTCTTCGGGCCTCAAAAAAAGGCAGTGTATAACCTTCCTTTTTTACCAAAAATCGACTGCACCAAAATTTCTCCGGAAAACACTTTTTCTTATTAATTTTGGTGCGTAGAATCCAAAACAATTCGTACTTTTTCGATCAGACTTCTCAATCAAAAGTTATAGACTAGACTAGACCAATTTCGATTTCGAAAGAAATTTCAAAGGGTTGTAACTTTTGAACTAGTAGCCCAATCTTGGAACTGTTTGAAATTATGGATTCTACAGGCCGCGTTCTATAAGAAAAATTTTTTTCCGGGTCGATCTGAGGCAATTTTTTTTTCGGGACTCAAAAAAAGGCAGTGTATAACCTTCCTTTTTACCAAAAATCGACTGCACCAAAATTTCTCAGGAAGACACTTCTTATTAATTTTGGTGCGTAGAATCCAAAACAATTCGTACTTTTTCGATCAGACTTCTCAATCAAAAGTTATAGACTAGAAACCAATTTCGAAAAAAAATTCAAAGGGCTGTAACTTTGAACCAATCTTGGAACTGCTTGAAATTATGGTTTCTACAGGCCACATTTTTAATTGTACTTTTATAGAATTCGGAATATGAGAGAGTAGAACATAAAAAAATGCACAGCAGAAAATTTAAAAAACCATAACATTGAACAAAATTTCCTAATTACGGCACAGTGGCAGAAGGCTCGCTAGGTAAAAAACCGTTTGAGATCGACTATGGGTCAAGATCGTTAGATCAATCTCGGTACATTAGCTCTTGAAGCTCAACTTGCTAGAGAAATTAATTTTGAGCGAGTGATATTAATTTTTGCTAATAAGAAAATCCGCAGAGTCAAATTGTAATATGGTTATTTGAATTCTAACAATTCATAATAAATTATGAAAATTACTGTGTCTGTATGAAAATTATTCAAATGTTCTCGTTTCAAATCTAGGTAGTCAAGATTGAAAATGTCTAGTTTCTAGTTAAGGGTGATGGACAACAAAAATTTCAATTATAGGGGCCCGGTCAAAAAATATTCCCGGGGCCCGTCGAGGCTAACGGCGGCCCTGCTTTTTGCAATTAAAATACAAAATATACAACGATTCGTGACAAGTTATATAACATAATTGAATAAAACATTGAATAAAACACTATTTTTGTTCAATGATAACATAAAATTGATAAAATTGCATGGCCGGAAATTTTACTTTGTTTTACTCGTCATCGAGTACGTCACAAGTGTATACACATCAATGTAGTTGTTAAATGAATAGATGATTCAGTTAAATGCTATCGTTGTGATTGTCGAGTTCTTATTGTTACGTGCTAATTCCGGAAAAAGGTATGAATTTGCATGTTTCAAACGGATTTTTTTAAACTTTAGGAGTGTGTTACATCTGTTATTTTCAAAATACCAAAATAGGTACCTACTGCACCTCACTAAACGACATCTCATCTAAATGCTTATACTGAAAATAGCCATTGACATCGAGTAATTAACTTAATTTCCTCAATTCATAAAGCTTTTAATTTTCCAATCGAGTGCAATCCACTCTAATCACTCTCGGGCCTCGTATTTGTCTTTTTCGCGTGGACCGGGTTTTTAAGGGGCGGTTATCGGTTGACCATGAACGTGCTCTATGGGGTGGCTGTGATCAAACTAACAAATTTTCAAAAAGTTCAAGATATGAACGCGCTTTCTAAATAGGCAATACGCCAAATCTGAAAGTTTTGCTTTGCAGTAGCGGAATTATGATATTTTTCTGACACATTTTGGATGTAGAGAGTTCCGGGAGTTTCATCGTTTACTCTTGGTACTAATACTTGCATATTTTTAAAAATTGGTAAATTCCAAAGATTAATGCCAGAACGTGTAACCATAAATCGTTCATGTTGTGACGTTAAGTAATTTTAATTGTGGGTATTTTTACTAACAATAGAGGAATTTGTTTAAACAATAGTCACAAAATAACAAGTATTATTTATGTAATTTACACTTACCTGCTTACGTAATATATCTTCGGATTTATAGTGCCGTAGACTTTGAGAAAACTAAAACTGCCTTGTTGTCTATAATAAACTGGTACCTTCAAAAGTTATCAATGCCAAGGTGAGTTGTTCGCAGAAGATCGTATCTATATTATAATATTAGAAGATACCTAGTTATAAAATATTACTCATTTGCAAGGATAAAAAAAATATTTAATATTCTGCATTTTAATATTCAAGGTGAAGGACTATACCTACAACATTCCGTCAGACGTTACATATAACATATGTATAGACATAGTGTAAGAATAGAATAAGTTTATTCAAAAGACTTATATGTGAAGTGATAGACTAGTTTAGACTGGATGTGACTACCATAGTCATACAACAGGAAGCGAGATATCTGGGAAAAACTAATTTGACCTTCCAAAAGATTTTTTTTAACAGGAGGGGTATCAATGTGTGTCTTTCTGTGCCGTAAAACTGTATACATAAGTTCGCTCACTATCCTGCCGTTGAAACCCTAAATGTTTAACTGGACCAGTCATTGGCGCAAGAATTTGAGTTTTTCACTTCTGTATTTTTAATCAGCGTACGCATTTATAAAAAATCACATAGTTTTTGCAATAAATTGGACAATTTTCATGAAAAATGCGCGCATTTCTATTACGTTTGCATATATCTAAACCATTAGCGTTCTTACATAATAATAATAGCGCATCGGCGGAAGGTTAACTAAACCGTTTTTATAAACGACCTCTTTAATTATTGTCTGGAAAACGTCATTCGTTACTACGTCAGAAGTTAGGGATTGAGCCAATTACATCAGTTATATACCTAAGTTTAGATGCTACATAGAATTGGACTTGAGAACACCTATTAATAAGGTAATTCTCAAGTGTGGGCCACCCTAGAGAATTTATACAAATATTTTCTATATTTCTCAATTGTCTTCTCTACCAAGAATAAATTCATCAATAAACTATTTTTTGCATTAGGCAACCCTCCAGATTAAACTTTGGATCTTCTGGAAATACTTGCATAAGTTCAACGCATTATTTCACGTAAAAATTTACGTTTTTTAGTATAATTATTCAGTCAGGGGACCACTATTCTTACCTTACCTAATACTGTGCTCGGTGAGCATCAACTGGGTAGCATATACGTACCTACTTAAAAATGGTGACTTGGTTGTTTAGGAACTTAATTCGGATCTATGGAGTTCTTTTAGTAACTATTAATCAAATTATACCTATATTCTAATAATCTAATCAAGTCTGTATTTGCATTATTAGGTACATAGAAACAGTAGAAATTGACGTTTTGACTCAGTGGACAAAATAGTGAGTTTTTGATCATGGATTTATAAATTTAATGTTCTTATCAGTTATCAGCATTAATTGTTATTTACATAAAAGTCGGAAAAATGATACATTATTGGCCAGGAAATATTAAAGGAAGAGGCCCCTTTGGTTTCTTCGAAGGCACCTAAATATTTTTATTTATTAAATCTTTTATAATAAAATAATAAATTCACTGCAATTCACCTCAATCCTACTCATGGAATGATAAAATGCTTAGGTATATTCTCGATTGCAACATAAATGTTTCTGTTTGAAACATTAACAACGCAATTTTGCTTCAGATTGGTGAGTACAGTTTGTTTCAAATTTTTCTTCACATTGTTCAGGGTTGAAAATTACATTATAAAAACGGCAATCGGTAAATTATATTCAAATAGAATTAAATATTTAGTGTTGGTACTTTATTGTTATTGACATGAAAACCTTAATAAATGACTTGGGATTTAACTTTCAATATATAAATATGGCTTCCACTATACTAGATGCTAGATGTTATATTAACGTTGCCTTATAGGTACTCGTAAATTATCAACTTGTGAGAATAAATCCTGTTGCAATAATTATGTCGGTTCTCATATCGGTATTTTCCATTGCACTATTCTTTGTTTAAAATTGGAGAGAAGTATACATTTGTCCAAACACTTATTTAATTACACTATAAAAATCGCACTTAATTTTAAAATTTACTTGTGCATTTATCTAAAATCATACTTTCTACGTATATATTGTACAAATTATGTTCTATACGCATTATTTTTTATTACCTTGGCTACCCAAGCAGGAGTATAACTATTACTAATTTCCCCAATTTCCTTTCAACTACTTATTAACATTTCCGAATCCACAATTAAAACTAAGTCTCCAACTTTTACGTTTCGCTCTTAATTCTTTATTTGTGATCCACTTTGTCCTTCGCGTTATAGTTGGAGTGTACTATATTTTACCCATCTACTCCAAAATTTATTTGCTAATTCCTTCACATTTCTCCATTGTCATTTTCTTCGCTAATGACGTTCCGTGGTCTTAGGCTCCCAATTCTGATGCCCTGTGGCGTGCGTGCGTATTTATTGTTAGCTCCCATAGTAGGGAACCACCGTCATTTTTTCGATGATTTTTCATTACCTAATACCGTATATTAAGGGTTGATGCATAAAACTTGATAATTCATATTTCAATTATTCGCCCCAAAATAAATTTGGTGTCATGTGTAAAATTTTAAAACAATTTGGAGAACTTCCAAAGTAATTCCCAACCGGTGAGGGGATAAAAGGCTTCCAGGCGGGTACAACGGTGATTTCGTATCAAAGACGGCTAGTGAGGAATACGTTCAGGGAACGATCACTGGAAGAGGAGTTCGGAGAGCCAATACGGAAAATGAACGGAACGTTTACAATATACGCGTGGAAAAATTAGGCGTGTATTGAAATCGAAGGAGTCGAATCAGCAACCGTACGGTAATACAAAATTTAAATTCAAACTCTGCTTTCAGCGCGTTTCAGAATAGCTTGAGGGAGTCAATTAAATTAATTATTAAAGTTAGTCGTTTTACTACATTCCACTGTTGAACCGGTTGCAGAAGAAAAGCATAAATTATCCCATTTGCAGTCTTCTTTTACAGCCTCTAACTGAAAAAAATTTGTTCGTAAGACTTACAAGAGTTCTAAATGCAAAAATTATGGGCATTCTGCAAATCAGTGTGCAATAGATATCAAAGTGCAAGCATCTTTTTTGCAAAATTCACCATTTAGAACTTTTTATTCTGTGCAACGCCCTTTTGATATTTCTGATCCAAAAATTAACCGTAACTGTGAAATGACGCTTGGAAGCGAAAATTCTAATAATGAGGAAAGCCTCTATGATGGTAACCACTTTTAGTTATCTGTGATGATAACTTAGATAAGCATATTTGCTGTAGTTTTCAGGTGAAGGTTCACATGTAAATAGAATAGGATCATAAATACTGCTCTACGTATGTATATTTGGAATGAGGTAATTGATGATTGAGTCATTGAAATAAAATGGAAGCGAGTACAGTTAGCTAAACACGTCTGCTCAGTACCAAGATGGCAAAAGCTGGCAAAAATGTTAACTAACTTTATAAACGATTCGTCATAGTACGATAGGCGGAAACGAATTACAGTAGATTTGTAAATATTTTGTTTTTATTGAGTAACCAAATAATTCTTTGTATATTTGGTGGGTATGAGAGTAGTTGATAAAGTATACTTCATACCGCTAGATGATTATATAATACACCGGACGGGAGAGGCTAGGCAACGCATCCGCCGAAACCGAGCGGAACAGGCGGTATGAAGTTCGCCGGTTGTTTGAGGTGAGGCGGCGCAGAAGTTCATTATTAGGAGATTTCCAAACTAAATGCACAGCATGGTACCCTCCATCCCCGTTAGTTAATTGAGCTGCAGAAAATACGAAATCTTTTACCAAAGGATTTGTCGTTTCTATTTGACGCGTCGGATGATAATGTAGGGTTAGTTATAGCAAATTTAACACATGTTTTTCCTGATAAGATATTAATATTTATTTTACTAATTCATTTGATTAGCGTTGACCTATTTATAGAAAACATAGTTGACCTAGAGTCATTTTAAACGATATACTTTTGCGTCTATACCCAGGTCTATAGGTACATATTTTGCTTTATTGTAATGATATTGTTAGGGATAACGTTAAGCAGCACTATTATCATTGTATACTCAGTACTAATAAGTAGGTAAGGTAGGTAAAGTGTATATGCACATTGCATAATAGAATGCTATTACCTATGAATTGATTATCAATTTTTTCAATGCCAATTATCATGCTCGTGTTGTGTGCAGACAATTACAGCCAATTCTTTTCGTACATTTACTTACTTTATGGTATTTTGGAATCGAAATCAATTCCACTAGATTAGTAGATAGTGTGTGGGATGTGTATGGGAAGCGTATACTTAATGTGTGCAAACTAGCTTCGCTACCAAAACTGGTAC